TAGGTCTATTAAACACACAAACACACAACACCTCCTGCTGCTGCTGCTGCTGCTGCTGCTGCTGCTGCTGCTGCTCCTGATCATGGTGATTATTGTGATGTACCTTGTGGTGGGGCTGCTGCTGCTGCTGCTGCTGCTGCTGCTGCTGTTGCTGCTGCTGCTGCTGGAAGGAGACACTTGCAGAAGGGAGAGGGCAATAATACGCCTCTACCAGCAGCAGCAGCAGCAGCAGCAGCAGCAGCTGCAGCAACAGCAGCCGTTACCGCTGCTACTGCTGCTGCTGCTGCTACTGCTGCTGCTGCTGCTGCTGCTGCTGGGATGCGTGTGTGTTTATCTTACCTTTTCCTTCTCTGCTGTTTGCTGCTGTATGTTTGGGTCCACTGAATAGCAGCAGCCGCAGCAGCGCCCTTTCATTCTGTGCTTCTGCTGCTGCATCAGCAGCAGCAGCAGCAGCAGCAGCAGCAGCTTTTCTAGACAACAAAGCTCCTAGTCTATGCTGCTGCTGCTGCCGCAGCTGGTCCCCCGGTGTGGGGGCCCCCCGGGCCCCCCTCACTATATATTCTTTTTGTATTGCTGCTGCTAGCAGAGCAGCAGCACCACGTATCTGCTGCTGCTGCAGCGGCAGGTGCAGCACAGTTGCTTCTATCCCTTCTCTGCATGCAAACCTTATTGTATGAAGTCTTGGAGCTGCTGCTGTTGCTGCTGTTGCTGCTGTTGCTGCTGCTGCTGCTGTTGCTGTTGCTGCTGCTGCTGCTGCTGCTGCTGTTGCTTCGTATAAAGGACCTAGAATAAGAGCAGCAGACTGAAGAGAAACACAACGAGAGAAAGAAGAGCCAGACTCAGATATATCCTGCAGCAGCAGCAGCTGCTGCTGCACTTGTGTTTCCAACGCTGCAGGCAATCCACTTTCTGTCTGCTGCTGCTGCTGCTGCTGCTGCTGCTGCTGCTGTTGCTGCTGGGGGTTTTCTAGGCGCTGCTGCTGCTGCTGCTGCTGGTAGCTATCTATCTCTTCAGCTAGGTCATGAGACAAAGCAAACAAAATACAAACAAAACCATCAACAGCAGCAGCAGATGCATGCAAAGAATTAAACAAAGAGGGGGCCCTACGCCGCAGCACCCGCAGCAACTTGGGGGCCCCCAAATACCGCCGCATGCACAGGCGGCCGAGGGTAGCCAGGGTCACACCGCATGCATGCGAGCGCAGCCAGTCTTCATGCTGCTGCTGCTGCTGCTGCTGCTGCTGCTGCTGCTGCTGCTGGGGGTGGTGGGGGTGATGCTGCTGCTGGGGGTTGTGGGGTGGGGCGGGGCTGCTGCTGCAGCAAGCAGCTACGATCTCCTCCATAGTGGGGAGAAACTGCAGCAGCGCATGCGGAGACACCGCCTCCAGCTGCTGCAGGCAGTAAGACAGCAGCAGCTGCTGCAGCGGTGTTGCTGCTTTAGGAAGAACAAAAGGGCACCACACAGCAGCAGCAGCAGCAGCTGCTGCTGCTGGTGCTGCTGCTGCTGCTGCTGCAGCAGAAGCAGAAGAGACTTCTTCGGACTCTCTCTTCGTTAGTTGCTCTTCCTCTGCTGCTGCTGCTGCAGCACCAGCTGCAGCAGCGCCAGCAGCAGCAGCACCAGCAGCAGCAGCAGCAGGAAGAGGAGGAGCAGCAGCAAGCTTGGAGTGTGGCAGCTCATCATATGCAGCAAGCCGGGAGAGGCCGCGCATAAAGAGGAACCAACGGCTGTTCATAGACAACAGCTGCTGCTGCTGCTGCTGCTGCTGCTGCTGCGGTGCAGCAGCAGCAGCAGCAGCAAACCAGCAAGCAAAGGCCCCTAAAGGGTCTCTGCTGCACCAGCAGCAACGCCAGCAGCAGCAGCAACGGCTGCAGATATTCCCCCTAATAGATGAACTCGAAAATGTACTCAATACACTCTTGCTGCTGCTGCCGCTGCTGCTGCTGCCGCTGCTGCTGCTGCTGCTGCTGCTGCTGCTGATGCTGCAGCAGCAGCACAACGATACAGCTCCACCCCCAGTGGCGCCGATTGAGGCGCAGAGCCATTCATCCTGTGCAACACTCAGGGGTCCCCACTGCTGCACTTCTTCCTGCTGCTGCTGCTGCTGCTGCTGTTGCTGCTGCTGCTGCTGCTGCTGCTGCTGCTGCAGCGGCAGCAAGTCTGCTAGGGCTCTGTATACTGGGAGAACGGCTGTCTTGTGGATGCCGAGGGAGGCGAGGGCCTGCACAGACAGAGCAAATATGCGGCTGAGTCCCCGCAGCAGCTGCTGTCTTTCTGCTGCTGCTGCTGCTGTTGCTGCTGTTGCTGCTGCTGCTGCTGCTGTTGTTGCTGCTGCTGTTGGTCCGCCAATTGCCTTCGCAGCCAACGCCTCGTCCCCATCAAACAAAATAAACTCATCCGGGAGCAATGGGTCTTCATGTTGCTGCTGCTGCTGCTGCTGCTGCTGCTGCTGCTGTTGCTGCTGCTGCTGCTGCTGCTGCTGCTGCTGCTGTTGCTGCTGCTGCTGCTGCTGCTGCTGCTGCTGTCTCCACTGCAGGATTGCCCTGACGACGGGTGCTGTGGGTAGCCGTGGAGCAGCAAAGTGGAGTGCTGGCAGCAGCTGCAGCGCAGCAGCAGGAGCAGCAGCAACAAGTGCAGCAACAGCAGCAAACGCCTGCTGCCTATCAGCAACAGACTCAGACAGGAAGCAGCAAGACAGCATGTAGGAGTAGGGCCCCTGCTGCAGCACAGCAGCAGGAAGAGACAGAAGGAAAGCAGAGCTGTGTAGTTCTTTATTACCCTCTCGCTGCAGCAGCTGCTGCAGCAGCAGACGTTGCTGCTGCTGCTGCTGCTGCTGCAGCAGCTGCTGCCCTGCTGTTCTCCGCGCTGCAGCGGCACCATCACACCCATCCCTATCCCCCTGCTGCTGCTGCTGCTGCTGCTGCTGCTGGTGCAGCAGCAGCTTTGCATCTGCTGCAGCAAGTGCTGCTGATCCTAGCAGCTGTTCTGCTGCTGCTCTGTCTAGGACCCTAAAGGCCCACAAAGCCAAAGACAGAGGCATTGCTGCTGCAGCGTTGCTGCTGCTGCTGCTGCTGCTGTGCAGCATCAAACTATCTACGCCAAATAACTCTTCCAAGCTACAGCTGCTGCTGCAGCTGCTGCAGTTGCTGCAGTTGCTGCTGCTGCAGGCGCTGCTGCTGCTGCTGCTGCTGCCGGAGATGTCTGCAGCAGCAGCTGCTGCTGCTTCTGATGACGGCGTTGCTCCTGCTCCTGCTTGTTCTGCTGCTGCTGCTGCTGCTGCTGCTTCTGCTTCTGCTGCTGCTGCTGCTGCAGCAGCAGCAGCAGCAGCAGAACACAGCAGCGCACGCACCCTGCGGACAGTTCGCTGCAGCGTGGCTGTTAGCT